TTGAGTTTGGGTTTGGGTATGAGTATGAGTTTGAGTTTGAGTTTGAGTTTGGTCAACAGTCGTATATTAAAAGCTTAGATACATGGGCCATAATCAAATTTAAACCCAAACTCATACCCAAACCCTACCCCAACCCAAACCCAAAACTCACTACCCAAACTCACTAAACCCAAACCGTTTGGGTTTGGTGCATGGCTAATTATACTCTAACAAATATGAAAAAAAAATTTCTTTAGTTAAAATTAGACACGAAGCTGCTAAGCTTGTGGTCAAAAAAGACTTTAGGACAGAGGTTTCTCTTCGCATCGCTTCTACCTAGCGTTTTTTTATGCATAGTGTACATCTCTGATGGTGAAATGTTAAAAATCAATGTCAAATAAAATTTCAATATTCAGATGACATAGATAAACCTCTATTAAAAAAAGAAACATGATATTGATTTTAAATGATTATATAATGTAAAAATAATTATTGAAAAAAATACACAGTTATTTTATTTATAAACTAGAATATCAATTTTAACTGAATTATCAAATATCTGTTTATTTTTTGAATGTGAACTAAATTGATTAGATCTACAAATAAAATAACTGAATAATAAAAAGAAAAGAATTCAAAATATTTCAAAGATAAAATTTATCAATTAAAATTATTAGATATTAATATTAAATTCAATTATTTCAAACAAATTCAAAATTAATTAAATATAATCAATGATTAATTATTGATATTTTCTATAATAAATGATCAAAATCAAATATTGAATGGAATAAAGTATATCATAAATTAATTAAAGTATAAACCTATACAAATATCAATTGACAATACATGTCAAATTGATTCTAATTTATATGAAATAACGTTTAAAAATGATTATGGATAAGATCAAAGAAGTGATATTATTGAAATACTTGATAGACCAAGTAAATCAAAAAATTTAATTCTGTAGCTATTCAATATTGGTCAATGTGCACTAATATAGAAAAAAATAGATTATAGTGGTGATTTATCATTAATTGGTTATTGTTTGAAAAATATGAAGAATAACGAGCTATATTATCAGATGAATCAAGCTAAATATCGTTTACATGTTTGTGCAGAAAAAAAATATGATCGATCATAACCATACAAAGCTATTGAATCAATACTTATTAACAATCAATTTATTAAAATATTATTTTTACAAAAATATAAAATTTTCTTTTTGTTTTTATATTTATGAATTAAAGAAAAAAAGAAAAAGATAAATCATATCATCGAATGATTCATTCAGAAAAAACCAAAAAGCAACAACTTTTCATCTTTAACAGTGAATGAAGACGCTTAAAAAATGTAATGTTTGCATCTGGAAAATGTCGAAACATTTTTTGTTCACAACATTTTTCATATTCATCATGCATAACAAAAAATCGTTTTTAATCTACAAAATACGTCAATGTATTGCAGAAAAAAGTTTTGTATGTTTTATAGATACAAAAATTGCCTTTTTTAAATGTCTTTATGCACCTTTGATGACGAAAGTAGCTTGTTTTGGTGTCTTCTAAATGGATATGAAAGCATTTAAATGCGTTTTCAGAAATTCTTGTCTGCATGAGAAATGTTCTTAATCATAAATATAAACAATATAAATTTATGTGAATAATTAACTTTTCTTTCGGGACTTGTGCTTTAAATGAAATTCACCATTGAGACTTCGATTTATATCAAAAAAAAAGCTTAGTTAACTCGTTTAGTCTTGAAAATGTTCGATGTCTTACATTTAGACAATACAAAAAAAATAACTTTAAACTATTTTAATTAAATTGATACTATTCCTTGAGAAAATTTCTTTGTTCTTTAATTGTTTAGAATGTGAGTATGAGCATGGGTTGATGTGGATCTTATGTTCACACTCACATCCACATCCCATTGATAAGAAGCTTAGAAACCAAATAATTTTACATAGTGCTTTATATTCAGAGTGCATAGAGAATAATATTTATTTTTTCTTTAGCATTCGTAAGAATATTTGCATATGCCCACGTATAGTCCTTTGAATAAAACCTTCGCGTGTCGAAACTGAAAAAAGGCATTATTAAAAATGATTACATTTCTACTAAGTCTTGTTGCTGTGTTCTCTTTGAGATTCACAACTGCTGAACAACAATGCATTATTGGATACCGCTGCAGTCATAATTCCAGTGTCAATATCGATTGTGATCCGGTTATGGGCCATTCAGCTGTGAATCAAGACGGATATGAAACCTGTATTCCGGATGAAAGAGACAAGAACGTATTTGGTAACGATGATCGGATTCAAGTCACCTCAAGAGATTATCCGTGGTGTGCAATTGGATACTTAAATGTCGGATGTACTGGAGCGCTAATAGGACGAGATCTAGTATTAACGGCTGCTCACTGTGTGATCGATCCGAATACCCAACAGCTCAACCACATAGAAACTTTCTACCCGAACAGAATCGGTGGAAGTGCAGAAGACTCATCCTCAATCACCTATGTATGGGTGGGTACAACGACTCCAGAAATTGACCGTGGAAGTGATTGGGCCTTGTTACGTCTTTCTAAGCCACTAGGAGATAAATATGGCTACTTCGGATTCGTGACTCTGGATGACAGTTCGATGTTAGCTACAGCTGGCACATTAGTTGGATATTCGGCGAATTTTCAAAATGGACAGACGGCAGGAGCACATATCGGATGTCATATACAGAAGAAACTACGTCATAACTTCTATCTACATGATTGTGACTCGGGTCGTGGATCCAGTGGTGGTCCGATTTTTGCATGGTGGGATGATGGGCCGTATATCTATGCCTTGAATGTGGCTGAACTTAGAAACGATGGTTCGGTGAGCTTGTGGCTGCCATATTACGTAGAAAAAAATGCTAATATTGCCATATGGTCACAAGAACTACACAACAAAATTTTTGAACTCAGAAATTCGTAGAAGTTTTCTGTAAGAGATTTGAATATACCAAAAACAAAGAGTTTGGTAAAAGCAAAACACTAACGAGACAACAAAATAAATTGGCTTTCCATTTCTGACGGAGATTTGTCGAACGAATGTATAGATAGATGAAAGCAAGTTTCATACTCTATCACGACAGGCTAAGTTTGATGCAATTCCGACAAGGACGGTCTTCTTTTCATGTTCAAAACAGACGCTAACATTCAAACATACAGACCATCACTTCTTTTGCATATCAGTCACACACACACACTCAAGAAATTGCTGTAAGGAGATTGTTTAGGTCTCGATTTAATGGTAAGTCATCATAGAAGGATATGTTTTTGTTTCACGAATCAGTCAATAACACTTCGGACTTCTTGTCAAAGAATAGTTGTGTCTTGATAGAAATTGACAAGATGATAGATTCGCTTATCCTGAGAAGAATAGCCATCGAATGAAAAGTAAGAGTTTTCAATTATGTCAAAGTTCGAACCGACCATTGGCGAAAGGTTAAGTATCGAACTGAGATTTGTCTGATTGATTAATATGTGGCATGAAGAAATTCGTCTTAGTTGAATCAGATGAATGTTGACAAGAAATAAACATTGATATTGTTGAAAGATAATCAATGCTTCAATGTTTTGTTTCTCGTTGATCCGAATGAGAATAACAGCGTCAGATGACGTATGCAACAACGGGTGAATTAAATCGGGCTTTACTGGTTTAATTTTAATTCAATACAACTTTGTCTTGGAAAAATTAATTTGGATTCAGCTCGGTTCAAGTAATCATAATTCTCTCCAATAAAAGAGTGAATAATACGTTAAAACTTCATTTTCGAATGACTAAATTATTATATAAGAGTTGTTATAGTGAGTCCAACATATCATAATCCAGATTTCGACCGATAACACGAATAGTGCACCCGAGATAATTGCTTCTACAACATTTGCTTTCCGATGTCACTTTGTATTGAGCTATGCTTCTATTTTGTGGGTGTGGGCGTGGGTGTGGGTGTGGGGTGTGGGTGTGGGTGTGGGTGTGGGTGCGGGGTGTGGGGTGCGGGGTGTGGGGTGTGAGGGTGGGGGTGGGGTGTGGGTATGGGTGGGTGTGGGTGTGGGTATGGATGTATGGGTCTGGGTAATTCATTGAAACTAATACCCACCCACACCCACACCCTCCATGAGTCGATAATAGAAAAACTAGTTCAATTTCATTTAATAATCAACTGATGGTAACTGGGTTTATTCGAATTGTTCATCCAAAAGAAGATAAAACTCTTTTCTTTTGTATGGTCATAGTACCTTTTCTTTGTACAAATGTGTTTTTTTTTATATACTATACTTCATATTAAAAAGACTAGTGCTAGTTGAATTCCATTGTATTTTTCACTTATTTTACTCTCTTTATTGCCTTAGATAGATCACAGTTTATTTTCAAAAAAAATAAAATAAAACAGGCAGGTAATGCTTTAATAATGATCTTCTAATGAAAATAAAAAAGGCAAGAATAGAAAATAGGAGCATCAATGAATATACAAGGATGGATGACGAAAATAATCATTGAATATCACATTCGTATTCTGGTGATCACATGATTGTACGCAACGAAGTACAAAACTAGACGAACGTGCAAAACAGACAAAATGGAAACGTTAAACAAACAAAAGCTACTGATTCATTTTGATTGTAGACTATTACAAATGTTTTCTTAAAAAACAAATTGCAATCACTACCAAATGTAAAATTCACGAAGAGATTACCCAATAAGTAAGTCTGTATATTATTTTTCGTCTGTCAATAACTACAAATGATAGGATTCAGTAGACTCTAATAATAATCATAGTTTAGATTCTATGAAAAATAAATAATGTATGTCAATTCAACATTTTGGTTGATTGAAAGAATTTAAAAAATATATATGATTAATAGATTAGTCTTATTGAGGGTGATTGCACTCCAGAATATACAACACTTTATCATACAAAACCAATTCGTGATATTCAATTACATAGTGATATCTTTTATTATCTTGTGCTTAGGATAAAACAATGCGTATATTCGATTATACACGAAATACATTTAATCTTTTGTAAGTTAATTTCTTTTAGTTTTATTAAAATTTATTATTTTTTTAATTTGTAAATGGAAAAGATGTGAATGTGCGTCTCAACTATGGAGTTGCATATGGAATCTTGATGATCCAAATATAATTTATGCAGGATTAAACAATGGTCCTATACAAGTATTTGATAGACAACAAGTTCAAACAGGTGAAACAACATTATCAACAAGTATTGAAACATTAAGTTTATCAACAACATCACCAATTGTTAGTCTTCAATATATACAACGAAATTCAAATTTTCAATCAAGTGGACTACTTGTTGCAAGTAATGATAAAAGTGGCTTTTATGAACATGTACCAAATAATGAATATCGATATCATGCATTACCTATTGATAGTAAATTTTGATACTTTTTTCTTTATAAAAATTCAAATTTTAATTTAATTTATAGAAAATTTATCAAGTCTTCACTATGATTCAATAACAAATCGTTTATTAGCATAATTTCGTCCACAATCAAGTTCAGCACGACATGAATTATATGAATTAGTAACACGACCTATTGAAGATTCTGAACAATCATTTATTGTTTCTTTACAATTAATTCAAACATTTATTGGTTCAAGTATTAATATTGTTCTATCAAGATCGAAAATTCTTCATAAGAATTTTGAAACGTATATTGTCGCATCAGATAATAATGGATCACATGGCGTAAGTTTTATTTTATTTTCAGTATGATATATGATATTTAAATAAAATCAGTGTCATTACAGAAACTATCTTGAAATCTCATTTTCTTTCCATTTTATTCAAAAAAAAATACTTATAAATGATTATTAATTTATAGTGTATCGAAGATCTTTCTCTGTTTTTATTAATAAACTAGTTAATAGAATTCGACGACTGATGAGTGAATTCAACAAAATTGAATATAATAAAAGTCATCACGATTGAAACTAAAATTCATTGAAAAAAAACAGAACTTCAGTGTTCTCTATGCCATGAAGAGAGATGCAGGAATAAGATGATATATCTTTAACCTTTCTTACAGATTCTATTCACTTTTTCATACGTTCAAATCGTACAATGAACACCAAAAATATAGATTAAAATTTGACAGATTTGTAAGATGCGTTATAATTATTTCATCCGAATTATTTTCTCCAGACAGATAAATATCTATTTTTTGGAGAAGTGTAGACAATTACATATACTACAACAACTACAAAGCATGGAATAATCTATTTAATCTTCGAAAAAATACTGACTTCCTGTTTCTAGGATTATCCATATTTTCTAAGGTTAAAACAAATTGAAAATTCCGCAGAAAGTACTTCTATTCTCACAGAGTTAGAAGTGACGATAAACAATGGGAAGGACGAAAAATGAAGCTCATCGTGCTTGACTATGTACACAACAGGTTACTTGCTTAGATCTTCAAAATCTTATGAGTCTGATAACGATGATATCTACCTTTTTTTTATTTTATTTTCTGAACGAGAAAAATGAACATTGTATTTCAACATCTTTTATCTGCCGAAAACTACCCTAAAATATTAAGAGTTTTCGCATAAAACTGAACAGTTTAGAAGACGTCACTTGGTCAAACTTTCGAAACCAGTAATTTTTCTTGATCTCGATGCTGGATAAAACATTATCTGTTCTTCCTACCAGACATTGGACCAGTACCAGTACAAGTACTGTGTACTTAAAAATTGTACTTTGTACTTTTACTTAAGTACATTGTACTTAGTACAATGTACTTAAGTAAACGTACAAGTCTCGCTTCGCTGCATATTTTTCTACCGACAAAAATCACTTTCGTAATCAAATGACATCTGTATTAAAAAGAAGATGAAAGTTTACATGAGTATTGGGGAGTGCTCGCATATTATCCCAGGTGATTCGATCCGACTGTCGGATTACGTCGTATTATATCGGATTATATCGGAAAAATTACCGGATTTTAACGGATCCGACGGGAACTCGTCGGAAGTTGTCGGCGTCCTAGCCACAGGATTCCGACAGGAGGTTCCGGATGTCGGAATAATCAGGATCCTGCGAAATCCCTGAAACTCCGACACTTTCCGACATCCAGAACCACTTGTCGGAATCCTGTGGTTAGGATTCCGACAAATTCCGGCGAATTTCTATCGGATTCGACAGGGTGAATTCGACCTGGGATATGTCGTCATTTCTCTGTTAATTTCATACATGCATCATGCTATGTCGCGGCTTTTCATGTTAGAATCCTTTCTGCTCTCTAATTTGCCATCAAGTGATGTGATTGTGGTAATTTCTGGACTGTGTGTCAAGTATTAACTATCAATATTCTTGCACTGCGCACAACAAGTTCCTGAAACCGTGAGGTTTATCCTTGTTCTTTTCATTTGAAGCGGGAAACATCGTTTTAAAGTGTGTGTGTGTAATGACAGGAATGTGACGGATGGTGAGAGCAGGAGTTCTCCCACTTTTTGAAAACTTGCATATTTTACAGTTAGAATTACAGCTTTTTTAAAAAGATCTCAAAAAGAAGAAAAGAGATTTCGCTTCTTCGCTATATTCAGAAAGTAGTATATTTATCTTTCAAAATTGAAAGAGGTTCCTGACACTCTTCAAATGTCTCATTCATTTTTCTTCGTCACATCACTATGTACTACTTAATTAGAACATCTGCACCCATAAGCATCCTCTTCTTCGTGGTGGTGATTTTCCGTCACTCTTTGAGGATCCATTACACTTCCTTGGTGATATAGTATGTGAACGACCTTTTATTAGACTTTTATATCTTTTGGTATCAAAATCAATATAATTTCCAGTTTTGTAACCTATAATGAGTAACGGTAAATTGGTAAAAGAGATATCAGAAACACATCTACAATCTGTTTGGTTACAATGGATGCGGGTGTAGGTGTGGATGCGTGTATTGTCTTCACACGCAGTACACCCACAGCCACACCCGATCCACACCTACACCCACACCCACACACCCATCCACACCCAAAGGACATGTGCACTGCACATTCGAGCCTCGAAGAGATTGTGCTGACAACTTTTTGTTTAGGTTGAGCTTAGTTTCAGACTACTAAAATGTAAAGCAGATAGCTCTGAAAAGTAAAGATGCTATATATGGAAGTCTTTGTGGATTCGAGTTTAGATACTTTTTTCTCAAGTCTTTTTCAGTTCTAGCCAGTACGATGAGAACTGGAAAAATGTCTCAAACATTTCCACTGCATTTTCTTTAGTTTTAATATGAATTCCGGCGACTAAGATTGGTTCACGAAGCAATGGAAAAAAACCATTTCTATAAAACCTCTTCTTTTTACAGAGAAGAAACACTTATAATCGTATGAAACGAAAAAGTAATCAAAATGAGAAACCCACCAAGTAATGTTCTCGAAAATGGTAGACAGAGAGCAGCGGTACTAAGTACAAATGTACTGTAGTACGGTGTACTTAGTACATTGTACTTAAGTACAAGTCAGAGATGTCCATCGCGGCTGAAAATCTGCCGCTGCCGCGCCGCGACGGTTTATAAAAAAATGTTGCCGCGACGCTGCCGCACCGCGATGACTTATAAAAGAAACGCTGCCGCTATGAATTATAAAATAAACGTGCCGCCACCGCGCCGCTGCCGCGACGGTTTTCAAAAAAGTGTTTCTAATTTCACTGCTGTGACTATATTTGACCAGAGATATGGGTACTAGTCCATCAGATTTATTCAATATCAGGGCGTTTCATTTGTAAATCCTGAAATTCTATTAAATTCATACAGTTTTTCAATGTTCTCCAAAAAAACCCTGCCGCTGCCGCGCCGCTGCCGCGATGGTTTTTTAAAACAGCTGCCGCTACCGCGCCGGTGCCGCGATGACTTTTTAAAAAATCTGCCGCTACCGCGCCGCTGCCGCGGTGATTTTTTTAAAAAACCTGCCGCTGCCGCGATGGACATCTCTGGTACAAGTACAAAGTACAATTTTTAAGTAAAAAGTACATGTACTTTTACTTCAAAAAACGTACTGGTACTTAAGATTTCCGCGTACTAAGTACGACAAGTACTAAATATTGTACTAGGTATCCAATGTCTGTGATACACCACAAGATGTGTTACAACAAACCCATATCTCTAAACCGTCTTTATTTGAACATCGCTTTCTGTACTTTTGGCTTTTATATATAAATGCTCTTGCACCTCGATTAGTTTGTGTCCATTCTATATTCGATTCTATGTTATTATAACAAGCAGATGATATGATGAAGCTTAGAAAAAAAGCTTATGACATTCATAGCAACACCGCATTAAATATAAATTATGAAAGCCACTATTTAGCGAACTCTATGAATTGCAGTTTATTAGCAAGAAAAAAATAACGGTTGTTTCGCGAACTCTGCATATTACAGCTAATTCAATGCAAATAGTGACACCCAATTTTGAACGAACTCTATAAATGACAGACAGTTATCAGTAATACTAAAGATAGCAGTTCTATTAAAGTTCTTCTCAATAAAATTTTAGTAGTTTAAAAACAAAAGTTTAAAATTTTTGATTTAATTATCGAAAACCTCTTTTTAAATTAATCTGATTAACTTTTTAAAAATTTAGAAAACGAAAAGTTGAAACTTAAAGATTATTTTCAATTGAAATAGTTTCAATTATAAGGATTAATTTCAATTTTAAAGCTTTTAAATTTCGATTGTATGTTTGCAAATGAGAGGACACGTCCTAAACAATAGTCAAAAGACGTAGGATTCGAAGAGAAAACAATGTTTGTCATCTTATTCGATGACTAATATAGCATTATTTGGTCATCAGTTGCCTTCGGAAATATCAATGAATCTCATTTAATGTCATGATGAATGTTTAAAAGGAATAGTCAAAAACTTACACAAGACCATGATCAATAAGAAATGACAAGCAACGTTCATCGACATTGAATGTCGATTCACTTGGCCCTAGACTGACGAAATGATGGCAATGATGTCCTTATAGTTTTAAATAAAAATGAATTCTGTATCATGATGAGTTTAGGAGAAATTATTGATCTTTCGAACATATTCTATATTACATTCTATAGATATATACAAACACTTCAGATAAAATATTGAAATATGCTAATGTATATGATAAAGTTTATGCTTTAATTAATTATAACGACTAAAAATTGTGATCTATGCCAAAGTAATGGCCGTTTCTAATACGGAAATGGCCAATTGCGACACAGACGTGCTCATTTGAGCCATAAGAATGGTCAACTGTGCCATAGAAATTGTTGAATTTGCCGTGGAAATGGCGAACTGAACCACAGAAACGATCATTTGTATAATGAAAATGGCCAATTGTGTCAAATAAATCGTCGCCTGTACCACCAAAGTGGTACTTTTGTACCATAGAAATGGTCACTTGTGCCACGACTATGGAACTTTGTACCACAACTATGGTACTTTGTACCACAAAAATGGTCATTTATACCAACTGTTACAGACAGACACAGGTGAATTTCCAT